AAGCGTTGTTGTTGCCCCAAAGAAGCCGGGAGTGACCCCGGCCCCGGCCCCTGGCCCAGCTCCTGCCCCGGCTCCTGCCCTGGCCCCTGCCCCATCCGCTCCTGTTCCAGCAGCTAGCGCAATCTCAGCGTCTGGGGGGACACCTCTGGAGAGCGTATCTGTGGTATCTGCGACTGAAGCCTCCCAGAGCACGTCCACAGACCCTGCAGGAGGTCAGTATGCACACACCACACACACACACATGCACACATGCACACATGCCGACAGGCACATGCGCACTGATAATTCAACAGGCCTTCTCCGAACTGATGAGTGCTAGTCCCCTCGAGACTCACAAGATTAAGTTTACTTTGACATTGTTGAGGCGTATATCCTCATGCAATTTTTACGAGGCACCTGTTTTTTATAGAGATTAGAGATTTTCAATAACAGGCACAATGACAACAGAGGAATAGGCTTTTAATTTAAATGGTAGTTCATATTAAAAATAATATTTAAGTTATTGTTTAAGCCTGGGTATATGAAGGTAAGCTTTCTGCCCCTTATTTAAATAATGTATCTGTCAACTTTAAAATAAATAACATGAAATGACTTTCTGATTTCTTATTATAAAACAAACACAGCATCAACCCCGAACAAACTGTAAACCTAACGTTCAAAAATCAATTAAATCACTAAAAATCAATTGTATGAGTCAACTAATCATTGTTTACTTTTGCTACCTGAGATGTTGCTGTAGTACAGTGTTCATGGTTTTGCACTGGTCCAGACCACAGCAGACAGGATTCATGGTCCGAACCAAGCAAATCAGGCAAACATCCTCTGGAGCAGTGTCTCCCAAAGTGGGGTCCGCGGCCCCCTGGTGGGCCGCGAGGGTACTGCAGGGGGGCCGCGGGAGGTCATAAAAAAAAATATATAATTATTTAATGTTAAATGTATAATGTTTTGTTTGTAATATTAAAATATTTGTGTTCATTATTTGACTTGAATAATCCACTGTAATCATTTTTGTATTACAATGTTTGTAGCAGAGGCTATTTCCCCAAAATAAAATAACCAGAAGAGCCTATTCTTAATGTTGTCTTCTTGGTTATTATTTTGGGGGGCCACGCAGACCCGTCAAATTTTTAAGGGGGCCTCGGTGTTACTGAGTTTGGGAATGGCTGCTCTGGAGGAATGCAACATTTTTGAAAAATGCTAACAAAGAATTCAGCATTTCACTTTGGACAAGAGCAGAGAAAATGGTCCAAACCAACTCTACCTCTGCTGCTGTGATCTATTTTATTTAAATCAAAAAGGATTTCTACAGAAGCACACCAAAAATGGGGAAAATTAAATTAACCTTTAAGTATCTACTTCAAACCCTTTTTTAGCATGAAATTTGAGTTTTAAGAGTAAAATTTACATACAATACTTTTGCCATTTGACTATACAATCGGGGACAATCGTTCGGGAATGTCTTTGGTTGACTACAGTACTAGTAAGTATCTTAAGGCACATCTTAAAATATCCCATGGAATTTGTTTAATCTGTTCTTCGCTCCCCAGTTTAAGGTTTCCAAGGTTTTTTTATATTGGAGTTTTTCCTTGCCGTTGCAGGAGTGTTGGAAGTGTCCTTCAACACATGATCAAGCACACTCAATATTCAACAATATTTATGGATATTGGTCACCTGGCCCTTATGGACTGATGGCTCTTTGTTTTTTATCATTGCATTTCTTGTGTTTGAACCGTTTTATTCTCTGATCTGTCTTGTCGAATTTGACGGTTTTGTAAAGTCCTTCGAGATAACTACTGTTGTGGTTTAGGGATATGGAAAAATAAATGTGATTGAATTGAAATTAAGCGCTTCATAAGAAAGGACCCCCGCTCGCTCCATTTTGTACGCACGGCCCACGATCACTGGTTAAGCAGTCCGCACGCCTCCCTCTGTCAGCTTGCCGCACTGAGTAAACACGCTTTTTGGCCCTGTGTGTTTTAGTGCGGCAGTGGGAGGACTAATGGAGACGTTCATTTACTCCTCTTTGTTTGAAGGGGCTACTTGAGCTGGAGAGGGCCTTAGTCAGATGGTGCTGTTTAACACCTCGACACACACATACACACATTCCACTGTCTGTCATTCCTGAAGAGTTATCCTTGCTCTGAGACCATCATGGCTGGGAAAACAAGCACAGATCATCCCCCCTCCCCCTCCTCTATATTCAGCTGGGCATTAGCTTATTTATGAGGCACAGGTAAGTGAATTTACTGGCAGATCAATCAAAGATGCACTCGGAGTGTCGGAGAGAGTCGGAGTCTGAATGGAGTCGTAAAGCACTTTTTAGTCCCGTAATGAAATCCTCGCAAAAACTGCCCTAAAGGGTAAACTGGTATGCTTGAATGCAATATCTCATTTTTAATATATGGGGAGGTAACTTGCACACAATTGTTGCAAAAACTATCACCGAGCTTAGTTATTTTAAAGTGGTTCTCACCCCCGCTCCTCGGAGCTTACGTCACTCACATTTCCTGTTCAAATCTTCCTCTAAATGGGCGTAGCCTGGAGGACTAAAGGGGGCGTGAACGAGACTGGGCCGTTTACATTGCTCTGGGCGGGGGGCTGCTGACGTCAGGTCCAACTTGCAGACGTCAGGTCCAACTTCTGTGCCAGTGTTGGCGCCAGATTCAAAATTCAAATGTAGTAATACAGGTCGCCAGCAGATGGCGCCTCACAGACGGTTTTAGGCAGAAAGTCTAACTTTCAACTAATTTGCACCAAAGTGACAAGATTATGACCAGGATATGTAGACAACACTATTGGACACTCATTTATACCGTTTATCAGCAAAAAAAAGTGGATTTGAGGGTGAGTTGTCCTTTAAGTTCTATAATAATACTCATAAATATATGAATGAATTTAGAAACTTTTTGTTGCGGATGGTAGCTACTGACTGACGTAAGTCTGTGAATCAGTAAACCTTCTTTAACAATAATAGAATTTCTCAAATAGTTTTATTACAAAAAAGTCTCTTTCAATTTCAGGAAATTATTATGTGTTTTTGTTATAATTACTTAAACCAAGTGAAACTGTAGCCTGCTGAGCAGACCTGTAGTTGACTAAAGACGTGTTGATCAACAATTAGTCAACAATTATTATCATTTTTTTTCTAAATCATATACTGTTATATACCCATGTGGCAAAGTAGAATAATTACTACACGAGATCCTGAATACAGGTCAGATTGTATACAGCGACATGACTTCCAACAAATGTTAACCTACATTTTCCTTGCATCTTTTACTTTTATTTCTTTCAGTTATTGATTTTAAGAGTTCTCAATCTTTTAAAAAGTTTCAAGTCACCACTCAAATATCCAAATTAAAAAACTCACAATGGTTGATATAGGTGCACCTTGTGTGATGTTTTTTGTCAAAAGCAAACAGGTCAATAGATTAATAATTGATTGGCAGATGTTGTTACACTATAGTTTTTGAGAGCTGGATTTGAAATGCCAACATTTGGGTTTGTGGGTGAAAGGCTACTGCTGCCCCCAAAAGTTGTACAATGCAATAGTTCGGGATTCTCCTTTTATTTGTCCAGCTTGTATTCAAAATAATGATGCTTTGCTTGGAAGAGAAAATGTGTTGAATCATATATCAATTGAAAAAATTAGATCTACCCCCCTGGAAAGGCCAATAAAAATGGCACTGCAAAGTTGACACTGCAGTTGACCGAGAACTTCACCGCCCATCATTAACATTTCGATTAGTAGGTACCAGAGGTATAGAGGCAGAAACAATCAAACAGATTGGAAAGTAAAAAAATCTTATATTTTTCCGAAATATTATTTAAACTTTCCTTCCAAATGTACAACCACACAATAGTCCTACAATGACATACTCACCTCCACACTCACATTTTTCACTTGTTTCTGCTGTTAATTATTGTGTCTGTGCAAAAAAATAAAAATAAAGAATGGCATATTGTCTTCATAGTACATCATTGCACCAGCCTACTTGCCCATAAATCTTGCTTGGACCACATTTAAATGGCGGACATTACATTGTTTCATGTTTTCTCACAGGTTTACGGTGTAAAGCCTTTGTGCTTATGTGCAGACTTGTCTATCAGACTAATAACTGGAGTATCTTTGGCTTCTCCCTGCAGCAGGCCAGGTTCCAGCCAGCGCGAGCCTGCCATCTGTCCCCCCACTCTCCCCCGTGACCCAGAACACAACCCCCAGTATGAGGTGATTCATCTTCTTTTCTCTGACTCTACGCACACACGCCATCAGCTGTTTGAAAAAGCATATACAATCCCTCTCGTATGCAGATATTGTTAGTCAAATAAACAATAAGATTCACTCTCAAAGTTGGGAATGATTTGTGGATTTATCATCTTGCTAATGTGTTTTTGTTGTCGTTTCTAGTATATCAGAGCGTCTGGAGAATGCGCTGGAGAAAGCCGCTCCTTTGCTGAGGGAGATATTTGTGGACTTTGCGCCTTTCTTGTCCCGGACTTTGCTTGGAAGTCATGGGCAGGAGCTGCTCATTGAAGGCACAAGTGAGTAGAAACAGTTGTAGCAAATCAACATCACTTACAACTTAAATAAACACTGTAAATACAAGTTATTAAGAACAGTAGATGAAAGCTGTTTTCCTTATTACACAATATCTATTTGTTGAATGGAGTTTGGCTTCAGACAGTGTCCAGAGCTGAAGAATTTTGGAGATTGTATTCATTGCTCATTCAGAAGCATTGTTAAAACTTTACCATACACTTCTAACTACAGATGATTTTGGATGCAGAGACATAGATTAGAACAATAGCTTATTACTAAAATAGATGTCAACTTAACTTGCAGAGTTCTTTTTCTCAGGCAGGCTTGCTCATTAACCATTTAACCATTACTTTCAGTAGTTTGAGAGTAAGTAAGTACTAAGAACACTTTTTTTATACAGCGCCTATCGCAGACAGGGTCACAAAGCACTTAAAACGTCATGTTAAAACCTGGGAAAAATGAGTGCCACAATTTAGGACTATTCCACATATCCAATGCGACTGCCTGAGGTCAACAGAGAAGAACCACTACAACAACAATGTTCATTCAAACTAATAAAGGAAAATGCTTTCATCCACTGCTGATTTTACCTTTCCATAATATTTGATAATATTTAATTGCAACCACTCTGACTTAAGTTAGAGTTCAGATAGGTTTATTCTAGCCTTCATAAAATGTATGCAAGTCACATGACCACATTTCGGATCACCCATTCTATTGGAAGTCATGGGCTCCCCATCACTCCCCTGCCTTGCGCCTGCCTCATTTGAATGAAATTACATGCACAGGCTGCTGTTAATCCACTAGTCTGATGAGCACGCGAGCTGCTGGTCGTGCTGAAGGTTTCCAGGGGGCTGGGTCAGAGGCCAGGCCACTAATAGCAGTGTTTGGGATGTCTGCTGCCACCAAACAAAATGGAAAGTTGATTGATAGCTGCAGGGGGGCCTGGTGAGAGGGGAATGGTGTGTGGAACCAGAGCATGCGTCTCAACGTTACAGGCGGCAACGCTAAAGACCAAAGGCTACTGTGTTATGGCCTGTCCCATCGCCCTAGAAGCACACTGCGGACACTCCAACAGCCCCCTGCCCTAAGAGCTCGGCCCTCACCATTAGGGATCAATGGACATATGTTGACCAAGTGAGAGCTGTAATACAAGGCCCAAATATGTATTAGTTTACAGTCACATCATGTTGACACATTAGGCACATCAATACTATCGTGTTCAGTGCAGATGGTGCAAGGTTAGATTATCTCTGTGGTCACAAAAGTGCTGAGGTATATAGGGTATATATTACTGCCTTAAAAATGAAACTAGTTAAAGAGCATTTTCTGCCAGGCAAGGAAAGTGTATAGCAGAGCACATACGCATAGACTTTACAAAACATTTCATAATAAAAAAGCAAAAACATTATCACTTAAGACGTATGATGACTTTATATGACATTATGTGTCTTTGGAATGCCCACTTCCCAAAAATAACAATATTTTTTTGCTTTATAATGTTATTTTTCCAGGCCTGGTGTGCATGAAGTCCAGCAGCTCGGTGGTAGAACTGGTCATGCTTCTGTGTTCTCAGGTGAGCATGGCATCTTTAACTGGCCTTCTACCTGTCCTCTGCTTCACCCACCTCTCATCTATCGCACTTACCTCGACTCCATTAAATCAGCAGCAGAGAGCACACCTTATCTACCCCTCACAGCAACTCGCCTGGCTCCCCATCCTCTCTCTGATCACAGAAACCTGAGAGAAAAGCATCTTTGCCTGTGAATATTGGTTTGCAGGTCAAGGGTGGCCGGCCTGTCCGTGTCACCTTTTGACCCGGTGTAGCCTCTTGTGGCCCAGACCAAACTGATGAGGAGGGATAATGTAGATTTGATGGTGCTTGGCATTGATTAGCTCTCTCCTCTCTGTTGTCTTGTGGGTGTTTTGTTGCCAAGTTTATTTAGGTTCTGGCGGATTCATGAATACTAATTCTGGGATCATAAGCAGGCGTGGGCGGATCGATGATTGGCCGTGTCAATACTTCACTCCAGGAAGGCTGAGTCACATCAAGGGTCACAGGGTGGATACGAGGCTGTGGAGTTACTTTGTTTGGTGCCCAATATATGTACATTTGAAATAAGTTCTGTACCTGAGGTATTATCACACAGTTGAATAGATTTTTTTGTTTTTGTCCATTTACGTTTAGAATGTGAAATAATAATAATTTAGGTAGCAATGAATCATTTTGCTGAAATTCTGACATTTTTCATACTACTTATTTTCACTAAAACGTTTCTTTGACAGGGTTGAACTTCAGGTTGTTAGTGCAAATGCTCTTCAATCTCTTTAGGCTTTTGTTATCCCTGAAAATAATTAAAAAACTTTCAATAGTTCCTCCAATTGTACAACCGATAATCACAACTCGCTCGGCTTCCAGAACCTCTCTGATAATACAAAAACACACATGATTAATGGTCCCTCTCACCACTGCCCTGCTCTGTTTTATTATCAGTTCTATTTTCTGCAGAAAAAGTGGGTGTCACAATGCTCCTCTCCCCACACCGCCTCCCCTTCTCTAACCCTATTTGCTTCCCATTATTCACCCCACTTCTCCACTAAAAAGCCAATGCAGTGGGACCTCAACTCTGCTTTGAAGCCATAGATTGTGAATGGTGAGGATATGATGCCAGGTTAGCAGCAGTGAAGCCTGGACAGAAAACCAAAGGGTGGAATGACACTCACTAATGCTGCTATTTGTCATATCTGTCAAGCTGTTGTTTAATGCTAATCTAATCAAAGGCAGAATCTCTGTGATTGCTTCGTTGCGTTTGTGCTGCCGTCCTACCCCCAGCTGAAGCCATTTCTCCTATTCTTTTAGCAGCGCTATACCCCACCCAATGTCCCCACACCGGCACACATAGACAACCGGGCTTTTCCTGCGAGAATCGCTCGGTCCCGGTGTTGATTGCTTCAATAAATCATCCAACCAAATTCTCTCACAGCTAATGCAAATGTAATTTTATTGTTGAAGGAGGATGTTGGGGGGGCAGAGATATGGCTGTTCTGCGAACACAGCTTTGCACAGGGGAGAAGTAAAGAAGGGACAGACTTTGCTCCAGGCTAGATTACAATTTATAATTATTTGTGTGTTTGTTCTCCATGTGTGGCTGTGAGGCTAAGCCAGCGCCATGATTGATGACGTTATTTAGGGCAGTTTGTTAGGCCCTCTGGCACAGGAAGCGATCAGATGCCTGACAGGAAGCGTTGCAGAAGCTTTGGCTGCTGAGCAACATGCCTTTTTTTTATTCGACATTGGATTCTTTATTTCCTTGCCTCAAGCACTCCACATCAGGCAATGTTGCTCCCAGAAATGTGTTTGGTCAGACTTATTTGATATGGACAAAACCGTTACAGGTGAAACTGTTAAAATTAGAATATTCTCACCTGTATATTGAACAGACCAGATGCAATGCATTCTGTGTTAAAACAAGCTTGTCCTCAAAATATCCTCAAATTATGAATGCTATATGCATTACAGCTTTTCAAAACAATACTTTCCACTATACAAGTGGTTTGACGATATTTTATGAATTCATTCAATAGAAAATGTTTGACTTCATTTTGGCTTAAATTTTGTGCTAAAGAATGTGGGGTTCCCTGTATATTAGATAATCCTACAATACATCCAATATTACCATCCTTGTGAAGGATAACTTTATGTTGAGTATATTTATACCAAGAATACTATTGATTGATCAAGTGATGCATTTTCGCCACATTCTCTGCTTGAGGCTAACTGGGCCCACTCCTGGGTCACTGTCACAATCGCGAAGCCATCACATGACTGTTGGCTTCCCTGCGAACCCGGGGGGAATAGCTGGAGATGATGTTGATTGATTTCCCCCGCCGCAGCCTCCATACAAGATGCGACTGTGTGAAATTTTAATTAATTTCTGCTGTTTTGAGATGGAGTAGAGCCGGGGCTAGGGGTCAGGAGGCTGGGGATCACAGAGCAGTTTTTAATCAGGGAGCTTCTAGAAGTTGCATTGGCCACAACATCAGCCTGGCTTTGAGGAGGGGATGGTAAACCGCTGTTTGATAGTGCTCGGACTCTGCGTTCATACAAGCGTGCTCCCAATTAAAGGACCATTTGATCAGACATTAACTGCGGGGGTGGCATTTGGCCTTGTTCTCAAATCAAATATTGATCTTTTTGGACTGCTGAATATACAAGGGAGAATTGATGATTGTATAGGCTACTGCAGTGGCAAGAATGAAATATGGCAAAAAGTGAACTACATTAAGTGACAATATTGATATTTGAAGCTTGTTTTCTAATCAAAGTGGCATTCTGTTTAACTTTTTGTTTAACTTGACAAGTAATAAAGTGACTTATAACTACATGGAATTTCAACCCATAGAACAAAGATGAAAGATCCAAGGCTTTCTGACTTAAAAGATAGAAATCCTGTATTGTACTTGGGAAATACCTACACGTTTTGCCTGTCCATCAAGGCCAGCCAGTACCATCCCAGCATCTTCTGCAAACAGCTGGAGTGAGATCTTGTTGCCAACCCAAAACCCATAGTGTTTCAACTGTTGCCTTTATAAATGCTCAGTGTCAAGATTGTTTTCGTAGACAAGGAGCTTCTTGTAATTTTTTTATATTCCATGACCCCGTGCTTGTCTGAAGAAGTGTTCACCTCTTGTCTCCCCACTCCTCCTTTGCTCCTGATTCTTCCTGACACTTTCACTACTGCTTCTATCTCTGTCATATTTACAGCCAGCCTGTTGTTTCCTGGGTACACATCTTGAAGTGGCCTCCACCTAAAACATCTGATTAATAAATAATGCTCTGGGACAAGAGAAGAGCTTTTTCTTGTGCTGCTTCATGTCTGGACAGAGCTTTGAGAAATCATCTCATCGGCTACCGGACAGCGAATGTCGAGCGCTGGGCCATAAATCTCCTCAGTAGCTGCATTTGTGTCCTGTAGATCAGCCATTATTGTCCGGCCCCTCTGTCAGCCCATCCATCCTTCTGCCATTTATCAGAAATGCATCCTGTACGTGGAGTGGAAGTGGAAGGAAGATGGAGAATTGCGAGGTTGGGGGGCACTTGTTTGTAGATGGCAAAGTCTAGACAGAAAAATAGCTGCTGTGTTATGGCAGAACAAGCAGGAATACTGATACATAATGTGTAGTGTTTAGACCCCTAAAGCCTGGTTCACACGGCAGGATATTTAGGCCGATTTAGACCCGATTTACCCCTTACGACAATCTTAAGAAACGCTCCGATTTCCGTAACAAAATCTTACAGATTATCCTGCCGTGTGTGGTGTGTTAAGACTGCACTCGTCGCTCGGAAGGACATCGGGACTGCTCCCAATCTCAAATCGGGGATATCCAACATGTTGGATTGTTTTGGCCCGATTTCTGGTCGTGTGTGATGTCCTCCGAGGACAAGCGAGCGCGTTGCCATGACTACGGCGTGTAGCCAATAAGAAGACGAGGTGACAAGCCGGTGAGGAAACACCGGAAAAAAACCAAAACACAGCAGCATGGCTTTGACCATTGCCTTTTCTTTGGATTACGTGTCTTCTCTGTTAACAACAAACTGCACACTATCGCCACTGCATCCTCTTCGTCCGCCATGACTGTTTACTCTGAAGTCACGCTTGATCTTGAGAGATTTTGTGAGATTTCCGTCTGACCTGGGAATGCTCGGGGGGGGGGGGGGGGGGGGGGTGTCGGTTCGTGTGTGATGTTTGTGGCTTGCGTGATCTTGCCGTGTGGCTACGCACCACACACTGCACGACCAAAGTGGTTAGACGCAGGATTTTTAATCTCCCCGTGTGGGGTCTAACACGGAGAAAAATCGGCCGACAATTTTAAAATCGTCTCGTGTGAACCAGGCTTTAGTCTCTATTGTGCAAACTGTCTTTTAGGTGTTGTTCAATGTTTTTTTATAGTGGTGGGCAAACCTTTTTTGTCTTTTAAAAGATGCCACTGCACTACTTATCCACTATAAATATGATCAAAAGAAGTGTAATGTTGTGTTTCTTTGTCCATCGGCACAATTTTTGACAGTTAAACTTTTGGGGGCTAAATTTTTTCTTCATAAATACACTAGTACTGGTTTGTCCCAACAGTCTGCATTGCCCTTTGCGATTTGGGCTAATTTGGGTTGATTGGCTGAGTGAGGGGGGCCTCCATTTTTAAATCTTGTGAAAAAGATTACCCAAAGATGTGACGGAAAACTAGAGCTGTATTTTTTTCAAATCTTGTTTTCCATTTACTGTAGCCAAGATAACACCATGAGACTGCTGTTGAAGATCCCTCAGCACAGCAATGCTAGTGAGATGTTTACCTACTGTGGTGTTGAATCATGTTCTGCATCTCTTTGTAATGTGCAGTTCTAGTTTATACTTTTCACTATTGTTGGAGCTCAATGCGGAACACCTCCAAACTATTAGTCATGTATTTATAATATGTAACATGTGTAATTGACTTTTATGCACATATTTATTTTCCTTATTACACTCAGATTTACATAGATTAATAATTATAAAAAGGATCTAAATCGCTCAAACGTTA